GTATATATATATATATATAGAGAGAAGAGCAAAGAAGAGGGAGGGGAGAGGGACGGGGGGAGCAGGAGAGGAGGGAGAGCGGGGAGAGCAGAGAGAGGAGAAGAGAGAGAGCGAGAGAGAAAGAGAGAGAGAGGAGAGAGAGAGAGAGGAGAGAGCAGAGAGAAGCGACCGCGACGACGGCGAGAGAGAGAGAGAGACAGGAGAGAGAACGAGCTTCAACCCCGAGAGAGCAGAGAGAGAGAGAGAGAGAGAGAGAGCGTTCGAGCGCAGATGAAGCGAACAAGAGAGACGGAGGGGGAGGCCAACGAGGAAGCTTAACGAATGGACCGTAGCCACAGAAACGGCGCCCGCGCACGCTGGGGATTGAACCTAAATTATCACGCGAATGAAATTCCGCCGGCAAATTAAATATGCGCTGACAAATCCGCGGGAGAAGCGTGTCCTTTCGGCAATCGCCGGAGCGAAGCCATTATATAGCAGACGTGGGCGCCCGTGCGCACTTCGGCAATTCGCTCCGCAAATCCGGCGCAGTCATATATTCGCGGCGGCGGCGCTGTCGGCGACCCGTCGGCGCCAGAGGCGGCGACCGTCGAGGCTGAGCGGCCCGGCGACGTCGGGCGGAACGTCCGCGACCGTCGGGCGGAGCGTCGCATCGGGTCGGGCGAAGCGCCGGCGACGACCGCGGGCGGAGCGTGGCGCCGTTCGGGCGGAACGGTGCCCCCCCGGCGAGCCGTCGGCGAGCGTCCCGGCCACCGTCAGCCGGTCGGCGTCCCGGCGGGAGCGTCGGGCGGAGCATCTGCACCGGCCGGGCGGCGCAGCCGACCGTACGGGCCGTCGGCCGACCGTCATGCCCCGGCGGTCGGGCGGAGCGTCTGCGACCGTCAGGCGGCGCGTTCAGGGCGGAGGTCCACGCGACCGTCGGCGAGTCCGCGGAGCGTCGTGCGACCGTCAGCCGGCTGCTGCGGCGGGCGGAGCCAGTCTGCGACCGTCGGGCCGGAGCGGGTTTGCGGGGTGGACGGAGCGCGGGCGACCGCTTTCGGCGCAGCATCTGCGACCGTCAGCGGCGCCGCGGCGACGTCAGGCGTGCGCGTCGAGGCGGAGCGTCTGCCGGACCGTCGGCCGGAGCGTCGGGCGAGCGGCAGCGACCGTCGTCGGGAGCGTCGCTGCGAGAGCGTCGGGAGCCGCACGGAGCGGAGCATCTGCGACCGTCGGGCGAGCGCGTCGGGCGACGTCAAAAGGGCGGCGGCGTTTCCGGGCCGAGCGTCAGCCGACCGTCGGGCGGAGCTGGCGGCAGCGGTCCGCGCGACCGTCGGGCGGTCGGAGCATCTGCGACCGATCGGGGCGGCCGCGTCGGCGACCGGCAGCCGCGCGTCGGCGGAGCGTCAGCGACCGTCGGGCGGAGGTCTCGACCGTCGGCGGCGCGTCGGGCGGCACCGCTCAGGCGGCGCTGTCGCGACACCGTCAGCGGCGCGCGCGCGACCGTCTGCGACCGCAGGCGGCGCGGTCGGGCGGAGAGGTCGCGACCGTCGGGGACGTCGAGCGGGAGCTCGGCGACCGCTGGCGGCGCCCGTCGGGCGGTCAGCAGTCCAGCGACGCAGGCAAGCGTCCTGCAGACCGTCGGCGCGGAGCGTCGGGCGGCGAGCGTCGGCGACCGGCGGCGCGGAGGCGATTCGACCGTCGGGGGAAAAAACTCGGGCGCGAGCGTCGCGACCGTCGGCGGAGCATCTGCGACCCCTCGCCAGCGCCTGTCTGGCGCACAAACCGTCGGGCGGCGCCTCATTGCTCAGGCTCTGCGCGGCGCCCCCGCGCACAAGATGCGCTTTCCACAGACGCTAAGCCAAGGATCGCATAAGCCAACGCCCACATATTTGACGATGCATCATTCTACTCGCAGTAAATTACTCAGTGTGCGCCGGCTTTACATCGCAATAAGGCGCCACGCCTGATAGCCCGCAATCTAGCCAGACTAACTTGACTCCTTCACCACGACTACACTGCTCAACTGCCAGTAAAGCATAGACCTTTCGAGTAGTCGAGTACAGAGAAGAGTGAGAGCAGGTGGAGACAGAAAGAGGAGATGGATGGATGGATGGATGGATGGATGGATGGATGCAGGTACGGAGGCATGTAGGCATGTAGCCACGTACGGACAGCGGCACGAAAGCATGGAGGCATCAAAGACACATGGAGAGAGAAGGGCAGGGGGCATGAATGGAATGCATGGAGCTAAACTAACACAGAACAGCTGCGCCTATAAAACACTTGAATCGACAATGGAACAGGATCAAAGATTCAGGAAATAGACTGCTTGTGACTGAAATACGAATAGAAATTTGGGACTACGATCATTTGGCATATTCATGCTCATAACTGCTGGCTATTCACATATCACAGCTAGCAATAACGATACTGTAATCAACGTTGAGTCACAGAAACATGGCTGGAAAAGAAGAGACAGTGAGAGGGAGAAGGCTGAAAGGTAGAGGGAGATGGAAGAAAGAGGGGCATGGGGAGGGGGAGGAAGAGGGGAATATAAAACGGGATGAGCGAGATAGAAAGAAAGATATAATTGGAGATGGAAAGGGAGAGGGAGACGGATAGGAAGAGGAATAGGAGAAGAGGAGGGGCATGAGCAGGGAGACGGAGAAGGAAAGGGAAGCACTACACGCGACTTCCATCACTACTAGCTTTCCACTCGGTAAATTATAGATGCTTTCTTTTTAGACGAATTATGGGACATGAATAGATTCTGAACTAGTACTGAAGGCTTAGGCCTCTCTAATGCATATTCATATATCATAGCAAGCCATAACAATACTACTGGGTGTTAAACAGAATTTTCGATTGCATAAATTCACCGCGAGCAAAGTTTTGTCAGAGCGAGAGAGCCGTAAGGATTTCACCAATTATTCATCAGTTCATCTAAATGTTGCAAATTAATTTGAATTTCAATTAAGCAATTAAGAGAGTTGCCACATCACAAATGTATTGATTGCTCACAACATATGGAATACCAAAACCGCCGATAGAGACAAAACCCGTCTACCCGCGTGAAACACGACGCCCGTGCGCCCCCTGGAGCGAAGAGTGCTTACCTTATCTACATGTTGAGAACTGACTACATTCTTCATTAACTTGTAGATAGCTGACGACGCTGTCACAATAGGGCTGGTCGCATAGATCACAGCTGTGGAGGAACACACCGTCATTACTGAGTGAGTTACTACCGAGTGGACACCGTACACAAACACTTCAACGGTAAAGACATTAAAGCCGCACAATGCGCATCCAAACGCTGATTTCTCCAGTACTAGACTAGCAAATACTTCGTGGCATGCATAATCACACTACCTTGTGACAAAATAAACTCTAGTTCCTCCCATTTCACTGCGCGTTTGCTTAAAACCCACGCGAAAGAGGTGAGAAAACTGGCATTCTGGCGCCAACGGCCCAACGCCGACTTAATTGCCAAACAATTTAGCCTCGAAGTGGTTAGGTGACGTCACATGTTTTTATCTTTGCTACACCCGTCCCGCTGTACCGCAGCACCGCTGCACGGTTGCTTGGGAGAGCAACGCGAAACTGTCAACAACATCGGAGAATTTGAACAACATTGGAGGTATTTTCAAATACCTTTTATAAGACAACGCGCAGTGAAATGGGAGGAACTAGAGTTTATTTTGCCATAAGGTAGTATGATTATGCATGACACGAAGTATTTGCTAGTCTAGTACTGGAGAAATTAGCGTTTGGATGCGCATTGTGCGGCTTTAAGAGCTTCAAGAGGCAAACATCGTTAGCCATAACATGGGTTACGAGGAAGGCTCACAAACACAATGTTCGTGACAAGAGTATTGAACGCAGCACAGCTAACTCGTTCGTCAGACGCTGGGCGAGGATACGTATCGAGAAGGAGACCCAATTATAACACCACGCGAGAATGCGCGGCTAGGTTTAACACGCGCTCGCGCCCGCCCACCTTACCTGTGAAAGCACTGGATGGATGCAAATTGAAGGCATTTAAATAGAAGGGGAAATCTTGCAGATTCTCGGAGTACTGCGGCAATGAGACCAGGCCGCCCGGCGTGTGGTTCCACTGTAGACTCGCGCGCGACAGGTGCCGACTGATGCGATCCTTTACTATCTGCAACGGAAAACGAAGGCGGCGCCATCTATACCGATTGAACTTGCCTCACCTACAGTATGGCTACATCGCTCGCGCAAACGCCTGCTGTATGGACAGTATGGTACATTAAACCTAGTGGCTAATAAAATATATACAAGGAAGAACTAATGCTATCAGAAGCCCATCTAAAATAGTGGTATCACATGGCTGCGTGTTTATCTATCTATATCTCGACGATAAATCTTCCGGGAATACAGAACAATGCAATTACACATCGGATTAACTGCATTACCACCGACATTTTCATGACAGCGCTATCACGCACTCGCAATGTTATCACAGAGGTAAAAGGAGACGGGATGAAATTGTCTGCTCCGATCGCAGCTTCCCTTTACGCGAAGCTCCATTTCCAAGAGCATCTGTTTATATTTCATTCGAGTCATGAAAATTGCATCGCGGCCTTATTGATACAGCTTTGACGGCGCCTCTACTTGGTCATATGCTTTACGAAACCGAAGAACGCTGTGTAGAAGCTCGCCAAACACTCGAGCAAACGCTGTCGACGCATGCGAAATCGTCAAGTGTGCGAGCTGCAAAATCCACCTTGCTTGTCAACGCGTGACATACCCAGTGCGGCGTCGGCGCGACACCGTACGTATGAGTGTATGCACAGCTGCGCGGTTGAATACAAGTGACAAACCATTGCAGACACACGCTCAGACGCTCAGACGCTCGGCCCGCACTATTTCACACCCTTTCGAAGTTTTAACCGGTCTCGGATCCATCTGCCCCGTTTCGAAGTTTTAACCTCGAAACAGTCTCGCATCTATACCTGCTTTGCAAACCTACCAACCCCCACCACGCTCCATCCACACGCCTGCCTTCCTAACTAACCATCATGAAGCAGCTTGCGCGTAAATGTGTGGTGTTATCGCCTATCATACACCTCTCAGAGATGAGCTCTGAGTTTGTATTTCGCGACATACAAGCTTCATATCTCGGTATCTCACGCACCGCTGCATGGCTTCCTTCTCTTGGGCACGGGCCGGATTTTATCGAATCGAATCCGCTTTCGCACACACGCATAATTCTGCTGCCATATCAAACAGGCCGAATAATTGCTCGTTAATTGATATAATTGCAATTTTTCCACTCAGTCGCCCTATTCAAGCAATTGCTTGCATCTAAAGTAAATTTTGAAATGCCCGTGGAGACACCTAATCAAAACACATGAATTCAAAATTATTCCGCGCACGGTCGGAGAGACCGCTTCACTGATCACATGCAAATAAATGGATGAAAGATGAAAATACGTGCGCAAATGCGGCAACACATTTTGTACACATGGCAGGAAATGGATCTTGTTTGAAAAGTATGTACGCATGACAGCTCGTTTGACAGGTCGATGAGTAGTAGGAATTTTTTTATCGGAAACAGTATATCTAATCCATCTGGAAGCGCCGCCAAAGCATTGCCGTCATATATAACATAGAATTGAAACTAAATTTGCAACAACAAACATTTTTATAGTATGAATTTCTTTTTGAATATATTGCATTATAAACGTAAGCAACTTATGGAAACCAAGGGGACTCGTTCATTAGGTTAATCTGGGTACCTTGTTGTTCTTCAACCCACAAACAAAATTGGTGAGGTCTAATGAGTTTAATGGTTTCTGCTGTCAATCAAAAATGTCAATTTTCTGGTGTTGGCGTATGTGTACGCGGTATCGGTTCTCCCCTCTCATTTTCGCGCGACCACTCACGCATGCGCAGTTACATAGCGGCCACACACATCCTAACCCTTACCTATATGCTTATCTATATGCTTTAATATCATCCGCGACTTCAGTAGAAGAAAAACAGGTAGGGAGGTTTTCTACGATATTCCGACGATAATACCGTGAATTACTAAGGCAAAGGACAAGTCAGTGTGACAAAACACTTCAGGTAAACTACTTACCTCCAATGTGGTCATGACTATCTTATCAACTGAAGAGAAATACGTCTCCCAGAGAAACTGAGTCTGCTGTCTCATTGCCAAAATATCTGGGTTGCTGATGGATCGAACTACATTTGGCACCTGATAACACGCAAGGAGAAACGTTTGATTAATAAAAAATGATACATATAATACCTATATGTACACAGTCAAGATAAGCGATAGGTGATAAGCGTATATATATTATAATCTCAGCTATGTAAATAGGGAGGTGGTAATATGCAGTGACCATCCTTTCTCGAACAGTAAACTAAATTACTAGCTAGTGCTACTAGCAGGTGTTCTGTTTCGAATTGGACAGTGCCATATTAGGGACGGCAAGCTGCAGTCGAATTGATAAGAAGAAGCCAGAATTTGTAATAATAGTAACAGAAAAACGTGGCGTTATTATACGCGAATTGCACGCGACGCTGCATGAATCAACGAAAAAACTCGCGTCTACAGCCTCGCAATACACTCGCACGCACGCACGCATAAACGAACGAACGAACGAACGAACGAACGAACGAACGAATGAACGCACGCACGCACGCACTCAGACACGCAGACACGCACGCACGCACGCACGCACGCACGAACGAACGAACGAACGAACGAACGAATGCACGCATGAACGAATGGACGAACGAATGAATGCACGCACGCACGCACGCACGGACGAACAAACGAATGCACGTACGTACGCACGCAGACACGCACGCACGCACGCACGAACGAACGAACGAACGAATGCACGCATGCACGAACGAACGAATGCACGCACGCACGCACGCAGACACGCACGCACGCACGCACGAACGAACGAACGAACGAACGAACGAACGAATGAATGCACGCACCCACGAACGAACGAACGAACGAACGAACGAACGAACGAACGAACGAACGAACGAACGAACGAACGAACAAACGAACGAACGAACGAACGAACGAACGAACGAACGAACAAACGAACGAACGAACGAACGAACGAACGAATGAACGAATGCACGCAGGCATGGACGAACGAACAAACGAACGCACGAACGACCGCCCGGCCGCACGCGTGCTCGCACGAACAACGAGCGTGCAAACGGACACAGGCACGCCCGAAGACACACACGCTTGCTCGCACGAACAACAAGCGTGCAAGCCGACGCACGCACGCACGCACGCACGCACGCACGCACGCACGCACGCACGCACGCAGACATGCACGCCTACGTGACTTTCAGTAATGCACGTTAGTCTGCTGCGGCATTATAGAGAGGTTATAGACGATCTGTTGACGGCGTAATGCGGCTGAGTGATGTATCATGACGAGCGCACGAAAATCCCAATCTCTTTCTCTTTCCCTGTCTCCTTCTCCCTCTCCTTCTCCTTCTCCTTCTCCTTCTCCTTCTCCTTCACCTCCTTCTTCTTCTTCTTCTTCTTCTTCTCCTCCTCCTCCTCCTCCTCCTCCTCCGTCTTCGCCTTCTCTTTCTCCTTCTCCGTCTTCCTCTCCGTCCTCTTCTTTTTCTTCATCTTTTTCTTATTCTATTCCTCCTCCTATTTCTCAGTCTCCGCCTTCCTTTTCTTCTTCTTCTTCTTATTCTTCTTCTTCTTCTTCTTCTTCTTCTTCTTCTTCTTCGTCTTCTTCTTCTAATGCTTCTTCTTCTTCAATCATTTATACATTCGGCGCACGTCAACGTGATTTCTAACCACGTCGCACACAGCACCGCGCCACTTCAACGCGTCGCCGTCTAATGGCAAAACACACGTGGTGGCCCGCACAGACACACACGCGTGCACGCACGTGCACCAAAACGCACGCACACACACGTAGGCAGCCACAAACGAACGCATGTTCACCCACATACACGCACGCGCACGCACGCACGCACGCACGCACACACGAACGCCTTCACGCAACACATACGCATGCGCGCGCACCCACACACGCACACACACACGCGCGCGCACGCCCGCAAACACGCCCGCACGCGCGCGCGCGCGCACACACACACACACACACACGCCGGTAATTTGCTGACGACGACAAACAGTGATAAAGCGACGAACAAGCGCATCACCCGCCGTCACTATACGCTGAGCACAGCTCCCGCCTGACAGAGAGACGTCGCCTAACGTCGGCTCATCGCTCGTGAGCTATATTCGTGGCCGCCGACGACCTAGCAGCGAGCTGTCGACGACGGTCGCATCCTCACTACAGGGGGGGGGGATTGTGTGATTCCGGTGAAGATTCCGTATGGGCAGAGCCTTTTTTTATTAAAAGAGCCTTTATATTTGGTTTAAAATAAATCAAGGACATGCGTCTTGCTCGGCCAGGGAAAGCGACTGCATTCCATCTCCTCTGGCACGAGAAGTATCTTTCAGGCAGAGTGTGCGGCTTCTCGCCCGCACCTCCTCTCCTCTCAGCACATCTGTATGTTGAATAACTTGCTCAGAATCTATCAACTAACTGACCGCATAGCAAGGAAGTTAAGGTCTTGATAACGGAGTAGTTAGCTATAGAGATTTACGCCCTCGCTGGTTCTTTAACATTTCCATCACTAAAGACGGACCCGTCATTCTACGTGGTCACCCGAGTCACGGCAAACGGATATTCAAACATGCACGTGCGCGCGCATCCACGCCCCCCCCCCACACAAACACACGAACACCTCGTATAACTAGCGGAAGCAGTAATGAATTTTCCTAGCAGCCACCGGAAGCAGCAACACCTTCACTCTGTAGCCAACCGAAGCAGTGACTTCTGCCTACACCCCCCTTAGTTCACGCATATGTAAACACCAGCACTAGATGGAGTAGTGCACGTCTGCGAATTGCGACTACCAGAGGGAAAACTTTCTGGGATTTTTATGACCAATTCTATTGCCATAAGACTCGAACGCCACGGGGCTAAGTGTTCTATCCAGCTCGTCAAGAAGTCCTTCTAGCTGAAAGGGACAAGTGCACCGAGCATTGATCTGCGCTGAAACATCCTTTCCATTACAGAAGGATCGCAGCAATTCCTATGACCTTTTTACATTCGACATATTCTTGCCCCGTCGCCGCGTAAAAACACGCAGTAGTTCTGTCGCTTTATGCTTGCCAAGCTGAAACGCGCCACTCACGGAGTAGGTGAATAGTTTGTATGAAGGCGGACGCACGCAACAGCGCTGCCGGGCAAAGATAATTTGTACCACACAGTGCCTCCCTCATGCAGCGCGCCCATGTAAGGTATGGCACGATACGCGGGTTTATTGGTCGACCTGAGCGAAATGTAAAGTTAAAAATATAATTAAATAATATAATATATAATATAAGTTGTTAATCTAATTTCATTGCGTTTCCCACTAATTGCCGATGAAATGAATTTCTTCAGGAGAGATAGTGGCGTGCCGATTCTTGTCCGTGTGAGACAGGAATACAGCCTAGCGCAGACCTGCGACGTTTTCATGCAACTCGACGGCGATTCTAGAATCACTGTAAAAATTGCTGTGAAATCGCTACGTCTGCGGGAAAGTGCAACTGCAACCCGTAGCGATTCTGGTCGCTTGCGACGAGTTGTCAGAAATCAAACTGTTTTGATTTTGAGCGACTCATCGCGCCCAATCGCTCCCAAATTGCTCTAGAATTGCTTCGAAATCGCATGTGTGCGCACACGCGGTGACACATCGACCGATCGCTTGCGGTTGCAGGTTGCAGCAACGAGCCACCAAAAATCGCAGGTCTGCGCTAGGCTTAGAGACGCCACAGCTGCCCATGTTTACACGGCGTAAATTGCATGCGCCTGCATCTATGCGAACGGCTGCACCAACACCAGTTACAATAGGGCTAACGCTCCATTAGGAGCGTTCCCAACTTTAATGTCGTGATATAAAAGAGATATAAAGGGGGGTGGATGGATATCAATTTAGATATCAAGGGGGTTAGCCATTAGTTATGATTCCTTAACGATTGCACTTACTCCGCCATAATTTCGCTGTACTGCACTTGCATTAGTCACCGTACCGATGCAGCAACGTTAGTTAACACAACAGTTCAAACCACCGCACCTGTAAACTGCACCAGACTCGCTTGCACTACACCCACGTATGTGCTAGCACGACTGTTTGAACCACGATCCGCACAACACCGATGAATGCATCGTAGCCGACCTAGCAACCGCATCGTGCACGCGCCACGACCCTTACACGACGACTAGCGCTTACGCCTGTGAAATCCGACACACCGGCGCAACTACGGATAACCCCCACGCCCATGCCTACGTAGCGCTGCGTGCGTAATCATACGCTCCTGACACGGGTGCGTCACGAATGACGATAGCTCCGCGAAACCCTACCCTGCCTGAGCATGGCTTACGCAAGCCATCGTCACACAGATTAGCGGGTTCGTGTATACACAGCAGTAGGTACGCACGGGCATGGCATCGTGCCCCAGAATTACTCCCACCGCGACCGCGACCGCGACCGCGACCGCGACCGCTACCAAACCGCCGCCACCACCGACACCGCGACCGCCGACACCGCGACCGCCGCCATCACCACCGCCACCACCACCACCGCCATCACCACCACCTCCACAAACCCCCCTCCGCCACCACCAACCTCCACCGCACCCCCTCCCCCTCCCCCGCGCGCACCAGTGAGAGTGACGGTTACGCACATATTAGAGTGAGCGGGGGGAGGGGGGGGGATTATTGTGTGGATAATAGCGCAGGCGGATCTCGGCGACTAGCGAACGTTAATAAGTCCCACACGACAATGGGCCTGCCTCTTTCAGACCCGTAATCCCGCACCGTGGTTTCCAAACAGCCGAGACGACGACGACGACGCACTGCTGCATAACGCCCACTCGTTAAGGCTTCGCTCTCCCAGTGGGACGGTCGCAATAAAGCTTAGTTGCGGGGTGGGTGGGTGTGTAGGGGGAGGGGAGAGGAAGGTTCCAGCCTTCCAATCCTAGCCGAGGAATAGGACACGGTCCTAAGACTGTAACAGTACTGATGTGGTTGGACGGCGCGTGCGCAGTAGCAACGGTTGATTTCGGAGAACGGCGGTGGGCCTAGAGATATGCGCATGCGCATTGGCGAATTACTTCGCTCGATAGATGGCGCG